CGAATTTTTTTAACAATCTTAAGAAGCCCGTTTTTCGATATTTTTATTAATTAGTTGAATAATTAATGGATAAAAAGTTAAAAACCGTGTTAGTTCACCATGTGATATTGGACGATTAGAATACGATATCAAAAAACGGATTTCTTACGATTGTTAAAAAAATTGTCCTCTACAATTTTTATAATAGGTAGTTTTGTTGTAAGTCGCTTCAATACTTGAAGAACAAAAGTATAGTTATTATTAGTATAAAATTCGGATACGAATAGAAACTATAAAACCGAACCAAGTAACCTTCAAATCGCTATTTTTTTTTGGTGACATATTGACAAAACAAATTTGTCACAAAAAAAAAATAGATATAGTTATGTTCAAGTGTATACAAATTAAATAGGTACAATGTATAAAATAAAAAGGCCACTCTGATCTTGATTAATTACAATTAGGTATAAATTAGACGAGTATCGTAATATGTACTATGTAGTCATAGACAAGTCACAAGTATACAACAAGTATGTAGTAATCCCACAGCGTATCTTGTCATAAGGTGACCAAGATGAGACTGTCAATGGCACGACCAAGTGTAGCTTATAAAATATAAATAATTAATTTGTAATACCCATTGATTATATTATACTATATTATATTATACTATATTATTATTGTATGCTAGTAGGGCTATAGTCTATTTTCATTATTCAAGATAATAATATTATGTCTATCAAATTCTGATTATCGGAATGTTTATTTCTGTCACAATAATTCGTCGAGACGCCAGACGGCAGACGGTGCGGGCCGATAACGAAAAACGCGAGTGCTTGAATAGAGTAGGGGAAGCCACGTTGTGCTGTTTTACGCCACCAGGGAATATTTCGATAATAATTAGAAAAATTATTTTACAATAATTTCACATGCCAAAAATTGTTTTGCGCGGGACAACTTTACTCCTTCAATATTAGCAAAAAAATTACCAAAATTTTACATCCCTATAAAGAAGAAATTTATCTGTGTCGTAGCGTCGTTATTTTTTTGATAACACTACCCAATAATTTTTAATAATTAATTGAAAAATACAAAAAAACCTAATGTTCTCAAACCAATAACTTTAATCGTATTTATGTTATCCAAAAAATAAAAACGCTACGACATAGATAAAATTCTTCTCTATGTGTTGTAAAATTTTGGTTATTCTATTATAGTTATGATGCGAGAAAAGTTGTCCCGCGCGAAACAGTTTTTACAACCGAATTACGAGTGGTGTGGCGTCCTCTTAATAAATAATTCATATTTTAATTCAATACATTTTAAAACTTATTGAATAAAAAAAACAACTTGTATCCTTGTTAGGTATAACATCAAATAAAAATTAAAAAAAAACTGTAGGTAAATATCTATTTATCTAAATAAAAAGGAAAACTATTTGTACATTTTATTGTACTTCAAAACATCTTATTTTGTTTTCATAAAATTAAGTTTTCAAACATATCATCACCCAGTCTATGACGTTTTGATGTCATTACATTCCCCCAGTACTAAATAACCTTTCTACAGGTGCACTAGAGGGTAACCCTGTATTAAACTGAACAAATTTGAATAGTACTTTAGGAAAAGCAATAAACTTTTTAAATCAATATTTTTGTTACTAAGGAAATTTAAAAGTTCTTGATCTGAGGTTATTGTCTTACTTTTATTGGAATAGCTTTTTGTTGGTAAGCAAAAAAAATCTTTATTTGAATCAGAATCAGAATCACTAGCTGAATTACCATCAGATACCTCATTTTCAGAACATAAAAACTCAGTTTTTAAAAATAATTCAGCATTCAATTTTTCGTCACCTTCCAGCCAATTTAGTTTAAATCTTGGAATAAGACATGCAGCAATTACTAAATCTTTTTCCATCCATATGTGATCAAGTCTATAACACCAGTAACATAGTAATTAGATAACCGCTAATATATTAAATAATTATTCATTGAATTTTCTAGTTTAATCTTACAAACCTTTTTTTTAATGATCTTAAAACAGCTTCTAATAGAAGTGTACAATGCGTCATAAGTTTACATTGTCTACTTTTAATTTTTTTTCTCTAAAGTATGTAAAGTCGGTAGCAGATATCCCATAAACATGGCTTTTTCACCTTGCAAGAAATCTGAGGACTGCAACTGGTCCAAATATATCACAAAATTCATTAATGAATACAGCTTCTTCGTTTAATATTCTTGGGAATGTATTAAAATCCATGACATGGTTCAATTTTTCTAAGCCACCAGGTCAATTTATAATTATTTTTAGTTGAATTAATTTATCATAGGTGGAATTCCATCTTGTTTTATTAGGTACTCTCAAATACACATTAAGTACTTCATGAATGTTTTCTGCCACAATCATCGACTGATTTTGTTTTAACCAAAGTTTTGTTAGCTTTGCAAATAGTTTTCTGTAGAGCTTTTTGAGTTGAAGAACATCAGCCTTTCTTTCATTTTCATTGAACCATTTTTCAATATCATTAGTTGCGACCAAGTTCAAAGTATGACTCACACATCGTCTGTGAGCGGACAAACTAACTTAATTTACATAGTCAAATTCTGTACTACTTTCAGCATTTTCAATTATACCAGTTAAATCAATCAGCTCTATTTCTTCATCTCTATTCTGATCTTCATCGAATAAGTTTCCTCATAATTTTTATCAATTCCAAAAACCCTAAATGCTTTTACAAAATTGCAACCATTATCAGTTGTAGTAGTTACTTTATTTTGAATTTTGTACTTTATGTTTATATTATATATTTCTTGGGCTATTACATCAAAAGTATGTCGACCTTTTATCACTGTGCAAGCTAATGATGCGCTTTCTCTAACTAACATTGTTATATTAATCCAATGGGCTGTTATGCCAAGGTAGGATATTTTACCTTGGGTCCAACAATCTGCAGTTACTGATATATATTCAATATTTGACAGTGTTTTAGTAGTATTATCTACCATTGCATTAGCTGCAGACTTTAATCGTGTTTTTAATGTTTTTGAACACATAACAGTTAATGTTTTTGGAAGTCCCAACCTAATTAAATTCAAAAATACTGGCTTGTCAAAAATATTAATTGGCTGTGTATCTTGAACAACAAATTTAATTATTGCTGAGTCTAGTTGTTTCTGTGTAATTATTTCATTTCCAGTACCTATTCTGTTTAATGTTGTCTGTATGAGATTGCTCGATTTATCATTTATCAGTAGAGTTGGGAAATGTACATATTTTTCACAACTAACTTCAAATCTCGTAACTTTTAAAAACTTCCAACATATTCCAACAAATGCCCGACATTGATCAACAAGTCCGAGTAGAAGTTGTTGTTACGTTTTTGAAAAATTTAAAGTACTTTGTAGTGCCAAATTCACGTACCTTAAACTATTTATATTTTCTTATAGAAAATCACATACTTATATTCAGCTTAAAATTAGGTTAGTTTAAAATTAAAATCTGAGGAATGGATTTTCGAAAAATGTTAATGGTCGCACATATACGTACTAAATAATAACATAATCATTTTGGGAGAAAATGTATTTTTAGTTTTGTGGGGGGCTGGGGAAACAGCATATAAGGAAAATGCGTTTTTCGGTTGTAAGGGATTTTTAAATAATGTCATAAAAATAATTATACAAATTAGTACAAATTCCGTAGTTTTCTAGAAATAGGTAGTTTTGGTGGCTTGGTACGTGCATAATTGTATTAAGTTTTGAATTTTGTAGTACCAGACATAGACGCAATTAGAGGCAAACACCAAGGGTGCTAAAATTATGTAGAGGACAAAAATAACCTGTGGGGTTAAAATTTTTTGAATATTAAAAATCTTTAAATTTATTGTTTGAAAAGTATAACTAATTAAAATTTTTTCAATTTTATTTAAAAATGTTATTTTTACAAAATATTTAAAAAATTATAAAATAAAACATTTTTGTAAAAAATTATAACAGAAAGTAAATATTTTTTTTATTCTTATAAAATATATCATTCTTTTAACACTATTTATTACATTTATGGCTTTTGCAAAATGTCTCTTTTAAAGCATAAAAAACATAAAAGGAGGTAAATTTAAATTAGAAAAATATAAAATTCAGAAGCCTAAAAAACGTAAAATTGTCAAACGTAAAAATCCATTTTTAACACTAACTAAATAACCAAAAAACATATTTAAAACTTAATTAAAACCAAAAATATTCAACTAACTTAAAAAACCAAAAACTGTAAGTAAAGAACATGAGATTTGTTAAAAAGAAAAGTGGCAAAATATTAAAATAGGTATGGAGCTGATCGGTTAAAGTCTGGGTTCCAGTGAAGTTGGCCCCCTTAAAGTAAAACATTGATTGGGGGGAGAAAGTATTTATTTTATTTTATTTTTTATTTTTATTAAATATATTTAAATATATATATTATCGCCAATTGGCTTTTGCAAAAAAGGGTATAACAAAAATACGAAACATTACATAACTTGACATAATATATGAATCAGATTAATATTAAAGTAATATATAATAATGACATTATAACCGTAATAAGAAAATATTAATATATAAGTTAGCTAGGTACAAACGGTCATAAAATATTTGAGTTGTTTATGTGCATCATTCTCAGTAGAGGTGCATTAGCAGCAAAGTTAGACCTAATTGTTAGTATATAAAAAGTTGGCCGTAACACGTTTTTGCACAAAACGATATTTTTACCTGAGATTCGGGAAAACGAGTGGGAACACACGTTAGGTTACACTTTTTTCAGTCCCCAAAAGCAATACAACGTTTGGGTAACATAATTTTTTAAAATAATACTACGTTGGGTACCTGATTTTTACTTATATACTTTTACATTTTTTAGAGCCTACAAATATGGCGGAAAACAACTATTTTCCTCAACAATAAATTCGTAGTTGTTATGTTTGTGCTTATTTATGCAAAACATGACAAGGTGTGCGGCCATCGACAAAAAAGAACTATTATACGAGTACGATCTTAAGACTGTTTATTTTCCACGATCCAATTAACTTGTGGTTTATTTATTATTTGATTAGACTGATTTCTCACTAATTCCGAATCTAAAGCTCTTTCACATGCTTTCTGAAAAGTTAATGATGATTCACCCAGCAATTTTCTCTGACAAGCTTCATCCGCTAGACCTACAATTAGTCTGTTGCGAAGTGCATCGTCCAAAAATGGGTCGAATTCACAGTGACTTGCTAACTTTTTTAACGTAGTCATAAATTCTTGTACCGATTCTCCGGACTTTGACAGCATTGATTAAATTTAAAAACGGTCACTCACCATTAAACGCCGTGGAGAATATATCGCGTCCAAATAGGACGCGACTAAGTCCTCCAAAGTTTTTTTGTGGGATGACTCGGTAAACATGCGTCCTTCAATTGACTATAGGCTTCTGCACCTATATACGCAATGAGGTACTTTTGACGTTGATCGTCTTTTACTTTTAACTCTTGCAACTGCGCTTTTAAGCGATCAAGATAATTTTTAAACGGTTCTTGATCCAGCACATACGATATCGTATTTGACATAATGAACTTTGTATTATACTTTTACAGACAAAAAAAAAAAAAAATACGAACACTTTTCTTTATATTAATCACGCACATATTAATCTAAACGATTTTCCTTTATACTTTTTTTTAACAAAAAAAAAAAATGTATAACGCATTATATTCGTCGCCAATGTTATGTTGTGCTTATTATGCAAAACATAACAAGGTGTGCGGCCATCGACAAAACGACTATAGACGAGTACGATCTAATTAAGACTGTTTATTTTCCACGACGGCTATCGGCTATCGGCTATATTAATAATTATAATGATATTATATTATATAATAATTAATTATGTAACATACATGACAGTTGTAGCGGTATTACGATAATAATCAAAATAATGTAAGTAATTGATATTAATTGGTTGGAGATAAAAGTATATGAGTATAGCACTATTGTAGATCACGTGTTTATAAAGTGTACCCAAGCGTGTCTTGTATAGTATGTTTATTGTGTACCCAAACGTTCTCTGATTTACCAGGTAAAGTTATAAAATACCTTTTATTTTATGTGTCCAAACGTTGTGTCTATTTGTACCCAAACGTGTGACCAAACGTTCTGCGCCCAAATAGTTTCTTGTGGCTCGAGTGCTGCTAGGAATCTGGATGTTGAGTGTTTCTAACAAACGAGGCGCATCTATTTGTCCGTTTAACAATTCCCTTATAAAGCGATAACCATGAGTTTGACGTCTAGATGCAAGTGAATCGAGATGTAGAACATCGTTTATAGGTTGATAATCGTTGGGTAGGTGAAATATATTTAAACAGTAGCCAGCATAATTCAGAAAGCTGTTCTGCACTTAATCAATCCTTAGTGAATCGCCTATGGTGTAAGTAGCCCAGAAAATAGAGTAATTCTATGTAATTTCTTAGATTCAAATTTGCAGCTCGCTCGTAGTAGAGAAAAGTTATAATATCAATGAGGACCACCAAATTGTTTAATATTTAATGGGCCTGTTTCATCTTGGCCAAAAGAGTCTTTAGATTTTTAGTTACACGGCGGAACAGACGATTTACGATAAGTCTGCATGGGTACACATTGATCAATAACATGCAGAAGTGATCTCTGTACAAATGAAATCTCTATATGAATGTTGTTCATTAAATACAGGTATATCTGAGGGAGAACTAAATGTTATAACTATTGCTGGGTGATAATCATCACACCGAAAAGAGCTTCGATTTTTCAACTTTGATAGATTTACTGTTTGAAAAAACTAAATCAAGGACTGAGTTAAACTTATTAGAGACAGTATTTTTTTGTTCGAAGTTAAGAGTTCCGTACTGATCACCGATCTGACGAGCTTTATTTGTAACAGAACCATTGAACTCGGCCTGAATTAAAGTCCCCACAAACAATCCCGAAATTAAATTGATATGATTCCCAAACATGACCCAAGGACTCGGTGTGGTTCTCATACCTAGATATATCTGAACTAGGATGTAAATAAATACCGGCTAATAGTATAGAGGTACCTCCAGGAAGGGTAATGCTTACAAATACTTGTTCAACACTTATAGTTGGTGACAAAATTATAACAATTCTGAACTTGGAATGAACAGAAATCAATGTACCACCCCCACGAAGATTATTACTGGTGTTAACATTTCTATCACTTCTAAAGATGATATACCCATCGAGCCCCAACTCAGCATCAGATATTTCCTCTGTAAGCCAGGTTTCAGTGAGGATATAAACATCATGTAAAGATAAGACAAAGTTAGTGTGGAGAGTAGACAGTTTCTTACGTGGGCCACTTACATTTTGGTAATATATAGACAAATAATTATTATTCAAAATGTTAGAATTATTAGACAAAGAATTTAACGTAACATTTTTAGTTTTAATATTATTAAAGCAAGAAAGAAAAGATTTAAACGAAAAATGGCTATAATAACAAAAAGAACAATTACAATTATTTAAACAATAAGCATGCACAGCAGAATTCAAATCATGAACTAAGGCATATGTTGGCTGTAACTTGGAGGATATTGTTTTCTTCCACTGGCTTTTATGTTTTTTGAATCGGCCTTACAACGGTAGGAACTCTATTGACGTAAGAGATGGTAAGATCTGAAGGACCAGAGTCCATTTTCCGCTCCAGATCCCTATGAGCTTTACGTAGAAGATCACGTTCAAGCGTAGTTTTGTCACGTACAATGCGAAAAGCAGGTAGAGGTGATACTCTATTCCATGCTTGAAAGTGAAAATTGGAAATGAGTTGTGAAGCATCATTCTTAGATCTACAGATAATTTTCAACGGTTTTGGTTTTTTATCAGTACTTTTACCAAGGCGTATATGCTTTTTTTCAGTAGGAACGGAAATTGAGAGATCTTTTAAATGATTCTCTAAGATGAGTAGGTCGTCTTTAAATCTTAGGGCTGCGGTGTTGGCCGCCGACTCAAGCACACCATAAGCAATTGCATTGAATTCTATTTTTGAACGTTCGGTTGATTCACGAAAAATCATTGAAGGGGAATCACTAGAATGAACCGGCCGCGATTTGAGAAGTTCAATTCTTGAACGGAGAACTGAAATTTCAGCCCGGAAGGCGGCATTATCGGCAACAAGATTCTCTACTCTGGTGGTTAAATCTGAAATACATGTTTGAATTTCTTTTAACTGCGACGATCGAAATTTGGCGAGTGAATTGATGGCTTTCATAATGTCGTCGTTAGAGGACGTTTTTACAGAGGTCTGGGACCGCGTATTAACAGTTTTAATATTAGGTGCTGGGGTCATAATAATTAGAAAAGTAGTAAGTCTGATATCAAGCGCAGTATATGTATAACCGTAGTGAAAGATAAGTAATTACTTAGTAGTAGTATTTAGTTACAAATTTCCAAAAGCTTGTTTCGAATAGTTGCAAATAAGTTGCAAAATATTGGCATAGGTTTGGTGAGAATCGGGTGAAATTGTCGATATCATGTCTTATCGAGTTACAAAATCGATCTGCTGGGAACGGCAGAGGGTCTGATAGCGATAAGATTAAATGTATTAATAATATAAAGGTATTTGTCACACCTTTTTTATATTCATAATATTTTTGAGCAATATTTGTTAATATAAATAAAATGAGATTGTCAAAATACAAACACAACTTGTATAACTAGGAAGCTTTATTTCAGATAATTTTGATGTATTAAGTGTTCCACAACAAGACTTCAAGACCTCATTGATTAATCAATATTATTTTTAATTTATGTCAAATATTTTATCTCAAATAAATTAAAACATTCTAACTTTATATTATAAGCGGCCGCTACCAAGCTATTTAAAAAAATAAGTTTTAAGATGATATTTTACTTTTCAAAACGATTTAAATACAATTCAAAAATGTTATGATGAAAATGGTAAATAGGTACTGTGGTCACCTCTTATTATACTCACTTTGGGACCTAACCATTTGAGTCCATTAATCGAATGAGTCAAAAGGGCGAATGACACTAAACAATTTATAGAATACTTAAAATTAAAAACTATATATTGAGATTCAAGGTGTAAAAAAGGTGGATAAGTGGATGTCTCTCTTCTCTACAGTGGGTCTTTGTTTAATAGATGGTATTAAATTTGATTTCAATGATAATATAATTTTAATAATATTATAATATAATTGTATACGAAAAACAATTCTGTGCTAAGACTGTTTGTCAGTATGGACATTTTGTATTATATTTAAACTTGTGCGATGAGAGCTTCATACGAGCACAAACCTTAAACACGCTGCCGTTGAGTGCGTCACATCAATTCATCGTCGACAACTGACGTGATAAATTAACTTAAAATGTATTGTATACTATTCGGTCACAAACGTTATTGCGAACACAACGTAATTTTATAGCTAAGGATTGAAGATTAAAATCAAGGTTGTATGTAAATAGGTTATAATATATAAATTACTTTATTCACTAATATATAATTAAATATACTTAGTAATATCATAGGCTAACCGACCGGTCTTCGCTCAGAATCATTTTTCTTATACGATGATATATCATTGAATTCAAAATTAAAACCATTCAATACAGCGAACCACTTGCATAAGCACAATTAGGTTAAACTTATGGGGATGTTATATTATGTCACTCAAGTGTTTGCCCCCTACACCCTACTACAATCATACACATTCATTTTATACACCTTCGCATTAATCTTAATATAATCAATTATCTATAACATAATACAAAATTACCTCAAAATTATCTTACGCATATACCATACACACTCCACGTACAAGGTCGACATCTAGTGTTATAACCCCATATTCTCCCTTAATAGAATGATAACTTGAATGGCAATTCTTCTTCGTCTTATCTTTCGTCTAGATTCTCTTTCCACTTCATAATCTCCTGTTAAAGTCTTCAATGGGCCTTCTTCATGTGACCAATGTGGTAAACTTGGTCACAAACGCATGTAGTGGTGTTTTTTTAGTCGGAAAGAGTCAGCAAAACTTGGGAAGAGTGTCCACCACGGTTTCAAATATGGTTATAACTCTACAACAACTTAGTCTAGGGCTTTTGAATAATACCTCATAAAAGTAATTTCATTTGTTAATTGTTTCTGCCTTTTTATTACACCTTGTATGTAAATAAGTTTATAAAGGGTAACTATTTATTCAGCAATTTATAATGAGCATATAAATACTAGTTTCTATAATGAACGGTTATATTTAGAGTTATTGCTAGAATGATTTTTTTTTTTGTTCATTTGTCCTCATTTTGTTTTACAGAAATAAATCTGAAGAAAATGTTTACACAATAGATACCGGAATCAAAATTGAAGAAGATATTATTGACGGTCAGGAATTTAATGGAATAGTTAATGAACACAGCTCTTCAGAATTCCTTATTTGTAAGAATTCGGACGATTCATCAAACTTAAATGAAAACACTTTGACTGATATCTGTGATAACATTTCGACAGCATCAAATTTAACAAAGCCTTATAAATGTGAATTTTGTGATCTAGGTTTCTCTCAGAGAACCCATTTAAAAACCCATAAAATCACACATAGCGGCGTGAAGCCTTATAAATGTGATGTTTGTGATAAAGGGTTTTCTACTAAATCAAATTTAACAACCCACACAAGGATACATACCTGTGAAAAGCCTTATAAATGTGAAATTTGTGATCTAGGTTTCTTTCAGAAAACACATTTAAAAACCCATAAAATCATACATAGTGGCGTAAAGCCTTATAAATATGATGTTTGTGATAAAGGGTTGTCTACTAAATCAAATTTAACAACCCACACAAGGATACATACCTGTGAAAAGCCTTATAAATGTGATGTCTGTGATAAAGCCTTTTCTTCTAGACAACAAATAACAAGGCACACAATGACGCATACTGGCGAAAAGCCTTATAAATGTGAATTTTGTGATCTAGGATTCTCTCAGAGAACCCATTTAAAAACCCATAAACTCACACATAGTGGCGTAAAGCCTTATAAATGTGATGTTTGTGATAAAGGGTTTTCTACTAAATCAAATTTAACAACCCACACAAGGATACATACCGGTGAAAAGCCTTATAAATGTGATTTTTGTGATAAAGGGTTTTATACTAGACAACAAATAACAAGGCACACAATGACGCATACTGGCGAAAAGCCTTATAAATGTGAATTTTGTGATCTAGGATTCTCTCAGAGAACCCATTTAAAAACCCATAAACTCACACATAGTGGCGTAAAGCCTTATAAATGTGATGTTTGTGATAAAGGGTTTTCTACTAAATCAAATTTAACAACCCACACAAGGATACATACCGGTGAAAAGCCTTATAAATGTGATTTTTGTGATAAAGGGTTTTATACTAGAGATCTTTTAACGAGGCACACACGGACACATACTGGTGAAAAGCCTTATAAATGTGAATTTTGTGATCTAGGTTTCTCTCGGAGAATTAATTTAAAAAACCATGAAATCACACATAGCGGTGCGAAGCCCTATAAATGTGATTTTTGTGATAAATGGTTTTCTAGTAAATCATATTTAAACAGGCACACAAAGATACATACCGGTGAAAAGCCTTATAAATGTGATGTCTGTGATAAAGAGTTTTCTTCTAGACAGCAAATAACAATACACACAAGGACACATACTGGCGTGAAGCCTTATAAATGTGATGTTTGTGATAAAGGGTTTTCTACTAAATCAAATTTAACAACCCACACAAGGATACATACCGGTGAAAAGCCTTATAAATGTGATTTTTGTGATAAAGGGTTTTATACTAGAGATCTTTTAACGAGGCACACACGGACACATACTGGTGAAAAGCCTTATAAATGTGAATTTTGTGATCTAGGTTTCTCTCGGAGAATTAATTTAAAAAACCATAAAATCACACATAGCGGTGCGAAGCCCTATAAATGTGATTTTTGTGATAAATGGTTTTCTAGTAAATCATATTTAAACAGGCACACAAAGATACATACCGGTGAAAAGCCTTATAAATGTGATGTCTGTGATAAAGAGTTTTCTTCTAGACAGCAAATAACAATACACACAAGGACACATACTGGCGTGAAGCCTTATAAATGTGATGTTTGTGATAAAGGGTTTTCTACTAAATCAAATTTAACAACCCACACAAGGATACATACCGGTGAAAAGCCTTATAAATGTGATTTTTGTGATAAAGGGTTTTATACTAGATATATTTTAACGAGGCACACACGGACACATACTGGTGAAAAGCCTTATAAATGTGAATTTTGTGATCTAGGATTCTCTCAGAGAACCAATTTAAAAACCCATAAAATCACACATAGTGGCGTAAAGCCTTATAAATGTGATTTTTGTGATAAAGGGTTTTCTACTAAATCAAAATTTTCAACCCACACAATGAAACATACCGGTGAAAAGCCTTATAAATGTGATGTCTGTGATAAAGAGTTTTCTTCTAGACAGCAAATAACAACACACACAAGGACACATAATGGCGAAAAACTATATAATTGTGATTTCTGTTATAAAAAGTTTTCTAATGGATCAAATTTAATAAGTCATTTAAGGACACATCCGGGATAAAAGCGGTACAAATGTAATATCTGCAACAAGAATTTTCTCTGATAAGTAATTCAAGACTACATATACAAGTAGACAAGGGGACATTAGATTAAAGCTTTATTAATGTCATCTCCATCATCAATCTTTCTCATGTATCCACTTTAAGAACCCTTATTTAAGTGTATTTATATATTATTAATATTTGTATATTAGTTTCAAAAACTATATTGCTTTTATTGCTTATTAATAAAAGATAAATATTAAAATAGTTGAAAGCTGTGTTATTAACGTGTACTTGGACATCAACTCCTTTTTATTATCATGTCTAATTTTTTAAGTTTTGTAAGTATTCTTCTTACCTGGACCCAATCCCGTTTATACTGGGTGATTCTACTTAACGAAACCCGTCTACCCCCTTCTTCCAAACTTCACTTTCCAAATTTCTTCACATACAGGAATGATCTGCCGCCTCATTCAACAACCTATAACTCTTAACACACTCATTCAAACCTCTTCTGTCCTCATTCAACTAAACGGCCACGAAGTCCTTGTATCAGCGGTATACAAACCACCGGGTGCAACACTCACGTCTCACGACTTGGACTGGTTGACCCAAAGTGCCGAATGGCAAATCTCGGCAGGTGACTT